CCCCCCCTCCCAGCACCACCACAGCCTGCACTGAGTGCAGCTGAGCCCAGCCCCCCTGCCAAGAAGAGCCTGGCACTACCCTTGGCCTCAGCCCACCCTTGCCTTGCGCACAGATTCAGGGGGCATGTGCCCCCCATGCCCTCCCAGGGTGCATGCAGTGGCAGGAACCACTTGCCCCCACAACCTCCAGATGAGCTGTGGCTCTGTCCTACACCCCACCCCACCTGTGCAGCATCTGCCCCAGTGCCTGGCCCACTCCCTCCCTTACCACAGGGGCCTTGGTCTGTCCCCCTCCATGCCCCTTCCCCCACAACAGACTTACTAGCTGGACACTGCTCTCCATGGTGCCAGGATGCACTCCTGGCCACCTATGTGCTGCTCTGTGGCTGCGCTCATGCACAGGGCATTTATCAGCAACATTATCAGCCACATGGGTGACTGGTGCCTCCTGAGTCGGGGATGGCACTTGCCCCCCCCAGCAGCCAGTCAGAGACAGGGGGGGTCAGCGACCGGGGGGAAGGAAGAGCCACCCCGCGGCCAATTGTGCTAACTGGCGGGGGGAGTGGATGTGCCCCCATAGCTGATCACACCAACCCAGAAGTGCCAGTGGCATGCCCGGAAGTGTCAGCAGCACTTTTCCTGGCACCCCCACTCCCCAGCCGGTGCTCTCAGTGTGGGGCACCAGAGCTCCTGCCTGCCCCCCCCTTGCCTAAATGGGGAACGCTGCTGTCAGAGGGTGCACCAGCACTCTCAGGGGGTGCACGTGTATTCCATGGCAGCCAAAAAAAACCAGTTGCTGATAATGTCAATTTTCCTTATATCAGTGCTGATACAATATGGGACCAATGTATCAGTGCACCTCTAGTTATAACCACTTTCCCTCCAGTCTGAGCCCCAGCTCATGCCCAGATTACTAGTTCCACCCTTCCATTCTTGCAGTTAACACAGAACCTGGTATTTTGTCTGTTGTGAGAATTGTGCTTGTTGTCTTTTGGGAAGCTCTGGGTTAGGGCAGGGTTTTGCAGATCAGGAACCAAGAAGAATGAGTTGTGAGCTCAGATTCAAAATGCCCAAATTTAACAGGTTGCTAGTGTGTAGGGACATGCTAATCCTATAAAGTATAAAAACAGACATCTTTGGTCTGACTGTCCACTGCTTGGATTTGCATCAAAACATGCATTTACACATGCAGCACCATTTACAATCATTAACACAAGCAGCAGTCAGAATGGCAATTAACCTTAATTAGCCACAATTGTCCCAGTAAAAGGTATCATCTGGGAGACTTCACAGTTATTTACAGGGGGACAATGGGCTTGCATGGCTGCAGGATCCCTAGATAAAAGGCTTTGTCTTGGGAGTCTGTTTTTAGTTTAGGGTATCCACGTCTCTGATAAATGTGAACTGAAAGCAGATTTATGGAAGACCTCCTCAGAAGGTGGGGAATGGGGCTAGAGGTGGAGATCAGGTCCTAGTATCTGGTACATCTAGGTGACAACTCCCTTATCCCAACCCTTTATTGTATGAGTGAGGGACTGTGGCAATCCACCCATAGGCTTTTGTTCAGGTTGCCTGCAGTTGTTGAGGGCTAAGAGCAGCCCTTCTTCGGGTAGACATGATTAAGGAAAAAGAATCATGACCTACATTGTTACTGCTAGTAGTTCCCAGATGAGCTCAATTAATCCTTTTCTTTCTTACAACATGTCCATAACCATTCAGGTTCCATACTCACCAATGGTGGTTTGGGTTCAACGTATTTAGCTCCTATGTATTCAAAGTAAGATGCAAATCCTTCATTAAGCCATAGATCATTCCACCAACTCATGGTGACCAGATTTCCAAACCACTTAAATAAAAAAAGAAACACATCTTAGACTGCATTTCTCTGAACTTCAGTCTTCAATGTTTTACGTTAAACCACTATGTATGACCATGAGAAGACTTTGACTTTTTATGTGTCTATGTTAGCACAATAAAATGCTACACTTTTTTTGAGTTGGTGGAAATTTAACAGTACAAAGATAAAACTCGAAAAAAGCTATACAGATACAGGTTATTTATTGTACATTTTTAAATTCCTGTCTGAAGCTAGAAAGCATTAGCATATCCAGTCAGTTCTCCATTCTATTTCATTTAAAGAAGTTACTAATAAATTTGAAAATCTAACAGAAAAAAAGTCAGGTTATGACTTGAAAATATTTCAGTTTCTCAGATTATGGACAAAAATATTTTTCTCACAGCTGATTGTAAATAACCATTTGTTTTTCTTTGTTCTTAACAAAAGGAAAGTGTCAAGTAGATAATAAACAGGAGTGGGGAAACAGCTAACTCCCAAGACCAGCAAATGCCTTTTTTGGTAAGCCATAAAAGTTCTATAACAGCTATTACATACTAAGATTTGGCAGTTTATATTTTTTAACAAATAGATATATCGTTTGGTGATCTGCAATTTCATTACACTGTATTTGTTACTCCTTAAGGTCTTGAACTATTACTTTCTTTTTAAACAATGTTTACTTAAGTACTGACATTTATTTTATTGGCCCACAATAAAAAGCACTAACTTTTTAGACCTTCAGATGAACAGATGAAGTTAGCAAAGTACTAGTACATGAAGTATAGTGGAACAAGAAATGAAATTGTACATTATCATTTTAAACCAAACAATTAATTTTCTGACAATATCTAAGAGCATTGGATGAATGTCTAGCTACAAGTGAAAATGTATTTACTGTGCATTTGCTCTACAGTCCCAAATCTCTATTCACAATTGGCTTTCTTCAATACTTACATGTATTCCCAGTAAGAAAACCTTCCTTACAGAGTCTATTCTCTTACAGTGTATTGTAGTATCATTACACTATCTAACATATGCTTTACCACATTCATCCCTATGACATGTTCCAGTAAGGTATCAAAGTATCTTATAAGAAAATGAAGTGCAGTTTGTTAAGAGGAGTTAGATGCATGAACCCTTGGAGTGAACAGCCTTTTTGAAGAATGGTTACGCCATCTTAGGTGCTATATAATTTGAGACAAATATGGTTGGGGTTCTCCTATCATGCTACAATTTGCTTTTCTTTTTGATCTGCCAAGCTGGTGTGTAACCAAACTGTTTTTTCCAACAAACTGGTATTATATAACAATGGATTTGTTTATTGCTATGAAACTTCCTTATCATTAGCTGTTGCACTACAGAAACTAGAAAAAGAGCAACTTCATAGAGAAACATATGTACAGAATGTTTTACCACGTGCCTGGTGTCCTATTTCATGTGAAACAATTAAGGAAACAAAAGCCTTTCTGTTTATTAAATTTTCCGTTGGGCAGTAGATCAATGATGATTCTCGGAAAGTCATTAGCCCCCAGTTTTCCATAGCACCTGCTCCAAAATCAGGAAGTGCAACCAAATCTAAATTGAGTCAAACAGAAAAAAATATCTGTTTCAAAATTAAATGACTACATGAAGTATATAATATATTTACCCAATTTTACCAAGCTGTTATATTGGTTATACATTCAAGGTGCTATAGGGGTTCCAAGGTGAGCTGCTGCAATAACCTAGAACAAACCTGTTCAACTTGTAAGTGGCCAGAGACCACATGCCACATAGACACTCGCTGTTGTACCATGTGTTGTGTGGGTATCCCATTCCCCTTCGTACCTCCCAACTCCCCGGCTAGGCTCCCCCACTGCGCTGTGCTGTGCAGGCACCCGGGCCACAGGCTCTCCCAGTCCCAAGGTCTATGCTGTGCAGCCCCCTCTCTGGAGGGGAGGAAGCAGAAGCCAGAGGAGGGAGGAAGAGCATAGAGACACCAGCTGCTGCCGCACCCAAAGTAACAGGGGCAGAGGCAGCCACGTGGGAACTTAGGGGCCACAAATTAATCCTCTGTGGGCTGAATAAAGTCCACAGGCTGCAAGCTGGATATCTCTGAAAATGCTCTTGGAATAAATTTCCTTCTGTATCTTTTAACAGTATGTCTCTTTAAGAGTGCCAGTCTTTCAGTCAGCAAAAAAGTCAAGACCAACCCTCATCAGTCTGTAGTATCATGTACTGGAGTACTTTGTGAATAAAAATCCTTTTTGAAGGATTTTAAAGTTCTATCAATTACTGGGAAAGATTATTTTCAGCCCAGACAAGGGCCTAACACCCAACACCCCCCGCCTTCTAGGGGCAGCCTCCCTGTCCAATCATGACATCAAGGCATAGAAGGCAAAACAACAAGGTGGGATCCTGAAAGGCCATAGGGGGCAGGTAAGCTGGGGTCCAGGTAGCTGCCAGGGGGCAATTTTCCTGCCCCAAGGCTGGATGTGCTACAAGGGTATATAAAAAAACCCCAAAAGAAAACAACACTTGCTTCTTCCTCTTCCCCCACCTCCCCACTCCCTCTTCTTCTCATGACTTCTCAGTAAGTTTCTCTTGGCTCCTCAAAGAAAAAGCTC